CGTATACTCACATATCGTACGCGTACTGTAAATAAAAGTATTTAATTAACACAGAGATTGCAGAGCATTGTGCATTCACCTTAAAGTCAAGGAGTGTTCCAATCTGGGTGCCTCTGTGTCTTCCGCCACTTTTTCTTGCTCCCTCTCTGGCGCGTTCACGTCCTAAGTCTTTGTTTCTGACTTTGATTTAACACCCAACCCAATCTTACTTACATTAAGTAAGGTACCGCATCTTATGCTTAAGTTACAATACTTTCTGTAGTAAGCTATGTGTACAAATGCTTACAGTAAATATTACACACAATATCTTGCACGATAAATATCGCAAAATTGAAACAACTAGCCTTCGCTTGACTTACGTATTGTATGTAGAATATCGGTATAAACGGTATATGTAAAACAGTAATGTTCGCAATAATATTGTAGATATCGCAGAATAATTAAGTAACTAGCTATTTGGTAAACGGAGAGAGTCGTATAGGTGCCGCAAGACGTGCTAGGCTGTTGGAAGGGAAAACCATATTTACGTGCGTGCACACTGCCCACGCGTCTTCCTAACTCGAGCTATTTTCATTAGATTGCGTTAATTAAATGATATCATAATGAAAGGTAGCCTAATAAATATGGTAAACGAGTTGACTCACCCTTTGGACATTTTCGGGGTTGCCTTTCTTCTTCTCGTAATCAGCGAACTTTCTCCAGTAACCGTAGCAATATGGATAACGCTCCAAAAATTTGGTATAAGCTTCGCGGGCAGCTTCCGCATCGTTCTACGGTGAACGAAACATTTTCAATGGTGGTGTTATCACAGCCGTGTCTCCTCTCCGTTTCCTACTTACTTCTTGATCAACGTACTGAAGGAGATACGTCCATCCCGTGAAATCTGATGGATCCTCGTTAACTGCCTTCCAATACTTTTCTAGTTCGGGTAGAGTCTTTTTCTTTGGAGATGCTGGTTTAGTTTCTTGTTTATTATCCCCGACTTCCGTTTCAGTTGAAAGTGCCACCTTCTTGGCTGGCGTTTCATCGTTATTTTCAGACGTCGGTGAACTAGGATCGTATTCCCCTTCTGCGTTCAACTTCCGTTTACCTGGAAACGGTAATTATGAATCAATAACGATAACGAATTTCCCATATTACACATAAATCTTTGCTCCGTTGCTACTTACTTCCGCCTTCCGTTTTATTTTTCTTCTCGGGAGTCTTGCTCATAGCTTTCATCCCGCTCTTCTTCTTCTTTTCACTATCCGGTGGTAGTTCATCCTCCGAAACAGATTCTGTTTCTCCCAAGTCTGCAGGCGCCGCAGCTGGTAGTTCTTCGTCGGACACCGCTTCCGTTTCAGGCTCCTGCGAATCCATGGTTAAAAGTTATCGAACTGTGCAAGTTGTACTCTCTATCCACAACGTTCATAAGAATATACCTTTGCTGCAGCTTCGGTAGGTAACTCATCCTCGGACACGGCCTCTGTGTCTGGTTCTGTTTTCTTAATAGTACTTCGAGGCGAGCACTCTGCATCAGCATCCATTACCTCTGTAATTTCGGATATTTCCGTTTCTTCTGTTCTATCCGGCAACATTTCTGTAACATTCTCCACAACTTCTGATACTTCTTGTTGAGAATCGTCTACTTCCATAACTTCAATTCCAGCATCTTCGGTTAAAACATTTTCAGGCTCAATTTCCTCAGACTCCAAAATTTCTGTTACTTGTGTTATAGGTTCCCCGTCGTCGGTTATTACTTCTTGGAAATCTATTAACACGCGTTGATTTGTCTCGTCGTTACTTGTATCTTGTCCCTCCATATCGATTTGTTCTTGGTCATTTAACATGTCAACTTTGTCCATACTGCTCTCTTCTATAATCATATGATCTGACACCACGGTGGAATGATCCTGATGAAAAAGGATTTACATTATAAATATTTCCATGTCCTCTTCCACTTCTTCCCATGTAAACATATTACTTACAATTTGAGATTCGGATGTCTCGGAATCAGGGACATTTTCCTGATCTTCTTCTATCTGCACACTTTGATTCATATTAATTTCATGAACAGCAGCATCGGTGGAATCGTCCAGTTCTAAGTGTAACATAGACGATTCATCTTCGTCGTGCTGCTGGATTATATCGGTGAACCTTTGCACTCCATTTTCTGGAATGCTTTCCATAACAACTTCCCCTTGGAACACGGACTCCTCCTCCTGAAAAAAATAACAATAACCATTTACTTTCGTTAAATGCAATGTCGATGAGAAAATTCGATGATCGGGACAATTATCCGCGGCATTGTCGTCGGGCTTACGCACTTCGATCTCTTCGATTTCCTGTACTTTTTTCGGCGAACGTGTTGCCCTTGCCAGAAGTTTCTTCACGGGCGATTTCTTCGCCACAACGGCGGTCTTACGCGTACGACTAGACCTCGTGCGTCGTACTAGAAGGTGGACGAAACATAGAAGAAAGATAAAAAGATTACTTAATGCGACCGGGATATTTACACGTTACACGCGTGTACGAGACGCCATTCATTTCAATGGCGGGTCGCAGGCCTTCGGCGAGCTGCCGGGTGTATCGCTACCACTGTTACATTGCTCGTACAATCACGCAATTCGGAGGAACGTGAAACGTAATCTTAAAATACCGAATACAGTTTCTTTAAATAAGATCATCTTCTTACCGGGTTCATTTAAAGCAATCTCGGTCTCATCACCACTCGCGGACGACATCTTGCCCTCAAAGCAATCTCTGGAATGTAAAACGCAGAACCAAAGGAGAAAATGGCGGCACTAAGTCGGAAGACCTCTACAGGATACTCTTCCACACTAACACGATACGCTGAATTAAATGCTCAAACTAGTTTATCATCGATTGATAAATATTTTATCGTAAAACAGTTGACGATTATCTATATTCCACCCCATTTCCCGCGTTTTTAAACACGATTTACAGTTTATTTTCTCCTCGTTGCTAACCACGTAAATGTCATTACACATCAGACGGCTCTTAAAGAGGATGTCTCCCGAGTAACTAACATCGACAGTTGGGTATTTTTATTTCTGACGCGTAGGTATACATAATTCATTGATATGCATTTTCCAAAATAAAGATATAATAATAAGATATGATATAATCAATTTAATGTAGACAGTTCTATCCTATGTATCGCGTTTAATATGGAATGAAATTTCATCCACGTTATTGACGATTTTAATCTGTCAAGGTTATCTTTCCGATAATGCTGATTAGTCGCGAAATTCAGTTGTTCTCTTTCATTTGAACAAAATGCATCTGCTTCGTGAATCGTGAATCGCGAAACGCGACAAACAATTTCTGTTAGAGAGATTCAATAATAAAACTGTATATTTTCCGTTACGTCTTTGTCTTTCTATAGAATCGACTTAATCGTATTCTTTTAATTGCGCAGAACCTTGCAAACGAAGCGTTATAATAAAATCTCGTGGTATTTTCATGTTAATTCAAAGATATTGAAACTTCTTGAAAAGAATACGAATTTCCGTTCGTTCTGAATTCCGTTTGGAGATTTACTTTTAAAAGTTGAATACTGTATGAACTTCCATAGTTTGGCTGTTGTAAATGAAAATACACACACACACACACACACACATACACACAGGTATGCGTACATGTTGCAAAGTTACGAAAATTCTCGTAGAAGAAGAGGAATATCAAAATATACGCATGTGCAAGAGGATTATGGTGAAGAGCGCAAGTGCATAGGATAATCTATCTTCTGTGAGTATACACTGAGCTACCATCTGAATCCTTTCCTTAAGTTATATATTGTTGTATACGTGATTTTGTAAAACGACGCTTGTCGATGCTCATAACTCGATGTTATTGTACATCGATGCTTCAAGTTGAACGCGAATCAAAACAAGCGATGCTGAAGAAGACCACAAACCACTCGATTTCGTTCGTAATCCGTCGATTCCGAGGATCTCGGAATTCCGAGTCTTCTTGTTCTCGTCCCTCGTTCTCCTCGAAGGAGGAGACAGTTTCGAAAAGCACGCCAATTATCTTTCGAAACCGTTTATCGAGATACCAAAACATTTTTTAAGAGAAAAAGAACGAAAAACATGGTATAAGACTGGTATATATTCATTTTCGCCCAATGTTCTCGTAACGTTGGGAATATCGGAATGTTGTTTAGTCTGAATTATTTTTGACGTTAATAAAAGCGATCCGTGCAATACGATTTTGAAAATTTCGTGAAAGGAGATGTCTTACAGCGATGGCGGTCGCCCGATCCGAAAATTCGGCACCAAATCGCCGAAAAAGCTTTGCGTGACCAAAAATGAGAATAACGATAAAACTACGACCACTATTAATTGCAACAGTCATCATCACAATCATTGCCACCATAATCACCGATTTCTCGACACTCCTCAACCGTCGGTACACAAACGTAATCTCTACATTGTTTCTTTCCCCTTGATACTGCTTTTCAATGTTCTGCGAACGCTTCTTTATCAATTGTTCGTGGTGTTTAAGTATTTGTATACATCCACGTCTCAGCTGATCCAACGAAGACAGGCTTCCAAGCAAAGCTGCCAATTGGAGATAGTAGTCGGTCAAAAGTCCGTTGAAACTATAAATAACAATTTGAATAATTCTGGACAAACAGAGAATGAAGGAATGTCGCAAATACCTAGAAGATCTATAGGTCCTGGACCTGGGGACCCGCTGTTTGCAAAACAAAAACATCATCATCGTAGAGCTTTTGAATTTATTAGTAAAGCGTTGAAAATTGACGAGGATAATGAAGGTATTAGATTAATAATTATTATTTGTCGATCGCATTAAGTGTACAAATAAAATTTATGTTTATTAGGCCAGAAGGAAATGGCGATTGAACTGTACAAGAAAGGTATCGGAGAATTGGAGAAAGGAATAGCCATAGAATGCAGCGGTGGCCGTGGAGAAGTATGGGAACATGCTCAGAGGTTGCATGATAAAATGCGCACTAACTTAGCAATGGCAAAGGACAGACTGGACTTCCTTGGTTCGTAGATTTATATCATCGATAAGTATTACATTCCTTGAGCTGTTCCAGCTTTTTGCCCAATGAAAAGCACAGCTTTTTACCTAATATCGTGAACACAGAATTCTCTTTAATTTTAGATTAAGTTCTGGTAACAGCTTAAGGAATAATACATGATTAATGTATTTAGCATGCTCATGTGTTAATTGTTTATAATGTTTACGCGTATGCGTGTGCGAGTGTGTGTACCTACGTGTGAATGTATATGTGCGTGTATGCATGCGCGCGTTATCTCTCCCTTTCTTTGACGAATTTATTTTTGGCACATTATATTCTTTCATAAGCGGAGCAAATATTAATGTATAAACTAGTAGCCAGACTTCATCATATAGCAGCATTTCTAATAGCTGTCCGCGCGCGCGTGCTCATTTCATACTTAAATATTAGTTAAATAGTTGAAAATTCTAACAGAAGTTGAGAAAATTTCTGAGTTCAATCAGTATTTAGCTATGTAGCCTACTGCAGCATGGCAGAGAATGTTTTTCCTTTTTGTAGTGAGTGTGTGTGAGCTGAAAAACATGGATATCTCCAATGATTGTCACGGTCCTGGAAATAAAGCGGACACCGAACATCCAGGAAAGAATCTGAGGGCTCGTCGCAATATACACACACTACAAACAACTCGATCTTCTTTAAACACAAATCATACAAAGAACACAAACAGTACACAAACAGTGAATATAGGGCAGAATACATGTACCCAAATTCCCAAGTTAAGGCCACGTTCACCAAAAAACTATTGTGCCCATTCTGAAGGTACTGTTTGTCTGAAGTTCTGGGCTTACATGGAAACTTTCTTGTAAATTTGTTAGTATAATATTTCTAATAGTCGCTTCTTTACAAGTGTTATTTCTATTCCATTGTTAACGTATGCATTTGTACCATTTTTTGAGAGTAGCTCCATCAGTAGTGAATGTAGAAATGTTGTTATATCGATTGTTACATTTGCAGTAGTTTTACCGTATCTTAGTTACACGACGTAGTATTTATTTGAATAAAACTTTTGGTAAATTGAAATTATTTATCTACGACTGAAGAATGTATGCATATGAAGCAGAAGTGATATTAGAAGCGAGAGATTAGTCAGTTGCACGATAACATGCTTTGTATAAAGGTTTAAAATTCATTTTAAAAAGTTTTTCTTTAAAAAATATATTGAAATGGATCGATTTACTTTATGTTTTGGTACACTGAGCTGATGCTACAGACACATTTACTTTTTACAACAAGATACATGCATTTACTTTTATATGTTAAATTTAATGTTTGAACGTTATACTAAACTTTAT